GTCGCCTGAGGCGAAGATGATCACCTTGGCAGCTAAGCCAAGGGCTCGGAGAAGAGGATCGCGAGACCGACATGAGTTGCATTGAGCGCGCATGGAGCGACCTGTTGGTCTTCCCCCAGCCACAAAACAAAGGGAAACCCGCTGTTCAATGCGAATCGACCTTTTGGTGTTTTTGCTTTTTGTTTTTCTCAACAACAAAGGGTACCCTCCAACAAAAGCCCCCTCAAAACAGAGTCATGGCCGTTTTAACCTCTCAGACTCTCTGGACTCGGCCTTTTGGCACGACCATTGTGAGTCATTTTCACAACCATGGCAATGTATGAGTCCCTAAGGGGCAAGTGAGAGTTTAGCTGACAATCCCTTAAAAAAGCAATGGAGGTGATACTGATACTGTGGATGGACAGAATCCACTTGGCACCAGCTGGGATCGGCGGTTTATCCACATTTATGTATAGGGCTTCTACCAAGTGGTGCAATGTGGATTTCGCAACATCCACAGTATAGACCCCCATTGTTTTAATGTTTTGAATCCCGGGGTAGGGAGTCCAACTCCCGCTCCCCCCCTTTTTCCGGCCCAAAAAGCAACACCAAACAAACATCATGAGTGCGTTTGTAGTGCTTTTTGTTTCTGGTGTGCGGTTGCACTTTGAATCTCCAAACTGGGGTTGATCAATATTCCTGGCCCCGAGATGAATATGGGTATTTTGTTCCCACTTCGTGGTGAAAGTGATCTTTTTCGTGCTCTCCCTGATGGTAGCATAACGGACCTTTTCATCAACCCCCCTTTGTGTTTTTGGGGCGTCTTGGCAGCGAATGCAATGGACGCCGGCAGCCTGGGATAAATTGCGCAAAGAGCCGTGGCATGGAAGGCACCAGAGGAGATAGGCAGAGGAGATGGGCTGCACAAGTCAAACATCGCATCAAATTCTTACAGGCTTCCCCTTGTCCAACAATTCCCCAAAAAAGTTGATGCCTGTGGCTGGAATCTGTCGAACATTCCCCACAAAATGCGGCCGGTTCTTTTTGCCTCGGGCAGAGGTGGCTTTTCCTTTTTTCCCTTAAACGCAATCCACCTACCTCTGGCTTCTTTCGATGAAACAAGTTCGCCCTGCTGGCTGCCTCGGTTACAATGCCTCGGCTACAACCTTTCTCTTTAGAACCCCCTGCTCTTATTGGCACACGATGACGTCCCAAAGAGTATGTGTGTTTGCAGTCTACTTGTGGCTGGAGTTTGTTTTTCCTTCATTCAGTTTCAACACTGCAAAGGCTATGCCTTCCTGACTGAGTACTGCCAAAGAAAATGACCCTCATTGATCCTCGGCCCTAAATATGAAGGCCTTTCACCCCCAGAGACCTCAACTAAAATCTTGGGCCCCTAGGGTTGGTCACTCGACTCCTGAGGCCGAGAGTTCATCAAGATGCCACGAGGAGTGGACGTCGCTTCCGCAAGAACCCCCCCTTTGACCATGACATGTCTCAAAAAGGCTATGGGTTTGTCCAAGGGAGAGGGGCACGTTCGAGGTGGTGAGTTTGTGGGGTTTGCCCCACTTCAACCAAAGAAAAGTGGTTGGTTTTCTCCCCGAGTTCCCTTGAATCCAACCCCAAAAGGCCATGAGTTGACCACCGCGCCTCTTGTTATCTGAGAGCTCACCATGTCAGGCGGGCAAGCGACGACTTCCTCAGGCACAGACGAGGGAACGAGGGCATAGCGGTCCCAAAGCTTCTAGTTGGGTTCGGGAAACCAAAAGCAAGCCGTTGCGCCGTTGCCATATTCGGAGGGTCTCGCCCGAGTTGGGCGAGTCTTGCTTCAGTTTGTACCCCAAACTGGATTTCGTTTCTCCCCAAACTAAAAGTGAGTCAGAAATGGTCGCTTTCCGTTAGCTAGCTTGCTAGTTTCCGAACGGTTCCTAGCTTTGTCGCCGGCTGCGCCCCGGATCTGACAACGGCTGCGGCCCAGAAATTGCCAGCCTGAGCGCAAGTCTCCGAGCTCGCGCCAGGGCGGCGAAGCTGCTTCCCGACGGCCGATGGGAGGAGCGAGCAAGGGGTGTGAAATGGATGTCTGGTGGTCCGAAAACCGTTTTGGGAGATCCCACTTTTGGGTTTTCGGTGAGTGAATTTTCACCATCCCATGTTTGGTGTGGACCTGTTTTTTTTTGGGGGGGGTTGGGATGTTCACTGGGGGTACGATTTGGATTTTGACCCATGGCCACATGAAGCATGCTGTGGATGGTTGCGAAATCCATTTCGCACCACTTTGAAGCCATGGGAACCACTTTGACGCCATGGGAAACCATTTGGTATGTACAGGGGAAACATTCTAGAACTTCTTAGGGTGGTGCAGGATTTCGTCCACTCACAGTATGGACCCTTTTGGGACCTGGTGCCGCGCAATCGTGCCACCTTAGTTTTGACAAACCCTCACATGGCCCCCCTTCAAGGGGAAGATGGGTTTGCCTTTTTGGAACCCGCGCCAAAAAGCAGGACCCAGGTTACTCAACCTTGAGGGACCCTAGGGATAACGCAGTTGGTGAAGGCAAGCTACATGTTTGTCAGTTTTTTTTGAGTTGGTACCAGCGTTTTGATGGCTTGAAGTGCAAGCCAAAAGGAAACCACAGCTGGGTCCCCTGGAAAAGACGCCTATATAGAGACCGCGAATGAATAGACCGTGCTTGATTCGGGTGCATGTATTGTGCGCATGTGGGATAGAGTTCTTTACTCTAGTCATCAAGAAACACTCCATCCTAGGGTTTCCTTTATTCGGGAATCCCAAAACGCTTACCCTCCCACAATGAACATGAAACCTGACAGGCCCCTTTGAAAGGACAGTTCTCCAACCCCGCCCCCCCGGGAAAAAGTCAAGCGGTTCCATATGGGTGTGGCTCCAAGTTAAAGAGCTGGGGTTACGCAGGTGTTGTTCTTTGTGTCCCAAAAATGCGGACCGCTTTTTGAGCCACATGTGATTTTCCGACTCGGAGTTCCGATCCGGAAGCATCGAGGAGCTGTGCTTGCAGAAGCTGAAGCTCAGCTTCGAGAGCTCCGAGCTGCTGGACCAATGGGCCCGGATCTCCCAAGCGCGTTGAACGGCCGCGCTCGAGGCGACATGGGTCCAGACCCCCCCTCGCACCCCCGCCCGGTTTTTGGTTGGGTTTCTTGGGAACCAAGAGGAAGATCGACAGTTGCTCCACAGATTGGTCAATCGTTTCAAATGGGTGTGTCTGTTTTTAGGGGACCCCCCCCCAAAAAAAAAGGGTGTTGGTTTCCCCTTACAACCACCAACAAAGAGGTACGATCTCAAAAAACGACAGACCCGAATGTGGTTTTCCTTCACCAACAGCTTTATCCATATCCCTTAAGGTGGCAACCCGGGTCCTGCTGCTTTTTGACGGGGGTTCGGGTTGAAAAAGGTCCCGAGATCGGGGGGGTTGGGTGGATCTGGTGTAAGCTGAACGCTTCTCTTGTATGAGAGAAACACCAACCTTGCAGAAAAAGACGGAGGACTGATGCATCTAGGGCCACAGAATGGCAGCTTTGTTCGCACGCCGAGTCGGGGCTTGCTTCGACCCGACAGGAGCGGTTCCCCGAAAAGTGAGAGGCTCCCCCCGCCATGGGGTACATGAAACGAGAGGTTCCCAGTCCCAGTGCTTCCTGCCACTTTTTGGCAGAGGTGTATTTTGCCAAGGGATGTTGGGACTTTAACCGTTTTTGCCAACTAGTGGGTTTTCCGTATATTAAAACCACTGAAAGTTAAACAAACTTTTAGCAGGGCTTCGCAGATTTCGCAACCGAGATACTGTGGATGGACGAAATCCTGCACCACGTTGGAACCATGGAAAACCTATGTTTGTTGGTATTTACAGGGGAAACATCATGTCAGGGGTTCTTGGGTGCGAAATGGATTTGGTCCATCCACAGTAGGTCAACCCTTGGTCACTGGAAGCACCGGGGTCGATTGATCTTTCGACCGAGGTGCGGATGTTGATGCAGAAGCCATGCAGCGCTACGTGGGAAGCTCGAGCTTCGGTCGGGTCACCGGGCACCTTGCCATCTCGGATCTTCCAAAGAGGCGCTGGTTTGGAGTTTGTACCCTTTCTGTTGGTGGTGTGGCTTTAAAGGAGAACCAACATGAAAACCACATTTATTGGTTTGTTTGTTTACTTCTTTCTTGCTTTCGTTATTTATTTATTTATTCATTTATTTATTGCTATTATTTATTGCTATTATTTTTTGTTGTTGTGTTTTTGCTGTTTTGTTCTTTTTTGGCGGGTGGGGGGGGGGGGGGGGCGGGGTGGAACGACGCACCTTCAATCAGGAAGTCTTGTGTCTACAGGTTGGATCTGGCCCAATGGTTGGTGTGTCTTGGTGTCCATGTTGAGATGTTCGGCAGCTCGGCTGTATACTGTGGATGGTTGCGAAATCTATGTTGCACCACCTAAAAAAGCCATGGTTGAAAAAGCCATTGTTTGTTGGTATTTACAGGGGAATCAACTCATTCCAGGATTCCTGGGTTTCTGATAGGTGGTGCGGGAGTTCGTCCATTCGCGGTATGTTGACTTGTCTTCCCAGAGGCTTCTGGGGCTTTCAATGGAAGACCCAAGCCCTCTATGAGACACCCCGGAGGTGGTTGGGTGTCTCAAAACCAGGTTGTTTGAAGGCCCTGGCCCCAATCAATCGGCAGCCTCTGGGTTGTGACATTCCTACGAACGGGTACCCTCCAAGGACCCTTTGCTTGCCAGTTGGCAACCCGGGTAGGGCGCCACTTTCCCTGTGTGTTCTTTGTTTTGTTTAGGGACCTCCCCCCCCAAAAAAAAACACAAAAACAATCACAAGCTGGTTTCCCTTTAAAACCACCAAACAAGGCGTACCAACTCCAAAAAACGCCACGCCCATCTTTTCAATGTAGCGGGCTTTCAAAGTGAGTCGCCATCGCCAATTCCGAATTCACGGGGCCCTCCGCCAGATTTGCCACAGGCTCAAGAGTCGAGTCGCATCTTGGCGGACTCATGGCCGAGCTTGTATTTGAGCAGGTTGGTGGTAGGTGTAAGCTCTCTTCTCCGGATGACTTTATCAGCCACCTGACCAACGACGTGGCGAAGCCTCGCCGCAAGAGCTCGCTCAATGGCCAGTGGCTGAAACATCAGCAGAGCTTGCAGGAGCAGGACGCGTGTTTAATGATCCAGACACTTGGCCCCTTTTGAGGGGAAGAAAATGAAGTTTTTAAGTTGAAGAATAGATGTTTCAACCATGTTTCAGGGTTTCGGGGGTGTTGTGTCGACCGAGCCAGGCAAAGATTGCGGACTTCTTGAGGAGGCATCGCTTCATGGACGACTTGGATGCCCCAAAATTTTCTTGCCTGGGTTTCAAGTACACCTTTCCACTGGTGGAGGCCGCGCGAGCAGAGGACGGACTGGCTTTCTAGGAAACACCTCTGAAAAGGAAACCCGACATTAAACCAGGGTGGTTTTCTGAATGTGGGTCAGTGTCCACCGATTTTAGGGTTCTGTTTCGCAGGCGACTTGTTGCCCCCCCCCCTCCCCCAAAAATAGTAATAATGAGAACAACAAAAAAATGTTAATAATGATAAACACATGAGTTGAAGTTTGATTAGTTGGGTTGCCCCTTTGCAAGAGCAGCCCAACTAGCCCAACCCAAACGGGCACGCGTGAGAGATGCCATGCTGTGAGTTTCTTTGAGATGCCATGCTGTGAGTTTCTGTTCACTCGATGCAGTTGCATGGTACTTGCGCTCTTCATTGCAGCACCAGCAAAACATAATGCTGAAATTCGGGAATGAACCTCTAGCTGGTCGCGTTGCGTGGTCATAGTGAAGGCAGTCTTGGATCTGGGTGGTTTATTTCTCCATCTCTCTCTCGAATGTATTGTTAATGTACATGACCCTGCTCCTTTGTACATCAAGGCCTTGAGCCTACAGCCCGACTACAGCCCTCGCTGGATACAACAAGTGCCGCGCTGTTACACACACACAGGTTTGTTACACTCAGGCTATTAGGTGATTACACAGTCAGTCTCACTTTAACATGGTAGCCGATCCTTGACCACTACCCAGGGTGAGCTCCAACACGCACTCACAGGTTCAGGTACACAGTAGTGAGCAACATGGCACAACAACAGCAGCAGCAGCAGCAGCAACAACAACAACAACAACAGCAGCAGCAGCAGCAGCAGCAAAGCAACAGCAACAGCAACAGCAACAGCAACAGCAACAGCAACAGCAGCTGGAAGGAATCCACAAATACAAGATATCACCACCACGGCTCACAGGAGAACACAACACCTTCGAGGAATGGAAATACAAGATGAGAGCATACCTGTGATTACAATACCCAGCATACAACAGACTGCTCAGACAGTCAGAGCAATCAGTAGGACAAGTTACAAACGACCAATTGGAGAACGCAGCGCCTTCACAACAAGTTGCAGAGCAATGTATAAGATCGAGCAACAACTTACACTACCTCTTAGTGGGCACATGCGATGGACCAGCACCTACAATCTGCAGACAAAACACACAAGGCGACGGCTTTGAAACATGGCGGCTGGTACATGCAAGGTATTCCATACCACTTGGAACAAGAAGCATTGGATACCTCACACGGCTACTAAAACCACAGCTGGATGAACAGAAGTTCGAAGAGAGCTTTACAACATGGGAGCTCCAACTCTCCAAGTATGAACAGGACAACAACACACTACTACCAGACGCAGTCAAGATTGCCGTGCTGCTCAATGAGACAAAAGGACCACTACAACAACACCTACAGCTGCAAGCAGGAACATCACAGCATATGCACAGATCAGATCCATGGTGACCGAATACTACAGAGCAACAGAAACCTTCACCAGGCAACAAGCAATCAGATCAGGCAGCAAAAATCAAGGACCAGCACCGATGGACATAGGAGCAACATGGTACAACAAACGCAAAGGAGGGCAAACACAAGGGCAAAGGAAAACACAACAAGGGCAAAGGCTACGGGAGCTACGGGCACAACTACAACTACAAAGGAGGAAAAGGCAAGTACAATCAACAACCGGTTGGACAAGGAAATCCTTTTAAAGGACAACAAGGATATGCCAAAGGAAAAGGATACAACAACAAAGGAAGGGCCTGCGGCCTCTAGCCGGCTACGCCTGTTTGAAGTTATGCCACGTCATGTCATGTTTTTGTATGAGAAACGTATCCTGTACTATGATATGGCTGGTTAGGTTGTGCATGTTGCCCACCCAACCCCAGATGATGCCGGGGATGCCAGCTTTCTGGGCCCCAGCCGGGCCCCAACCCAGAAGGCTGACACGGGGTCGCGCGCGCGCGCTCCAGAGGCCCCAGAAACAGCAGCCCGAAAAGAATAGTTCGTAAGCCAGCCCGGAAACGCAAATGCAACAAAACACCGTAAATAGCAGCGTTTTGTGGCTAGGGTCGCGCGCGTGCGCGCGCGCGCCAGAAGGCCCGAAAACCAACGGGAAAAATGCAAGGACCGCGCAGCACGGAGCCAGCCACAGCACAAGCAAAACGGACAGAACAACAGCCCAACGCTCAGCGCAGCAGATTTTGCGGTATTTACAGCGTTTTGTAGAGCGAGGACCCAGCATCGCCGGCATGCCCGCAGCGCTTGGCGCCAAAATGCGCAAAAATGAGCCTCGCTCATATCCCTCCGATACCTTCTAAAAAACAGTGCTTCATGGGTTGAGAGGCTTTTGGAAGGAAGTCTTGATGATGCAGACCAAGCCCCGCTGAAGCATCACCCAGGCCCAACCCCAGACCCTGATGATGTCAGCCACATGGCCTAAACCCTGCATATACGCGATGTTTTGCGAGGGTTTCCCACAGGCAAGCAAAACCGCAAGCCCGAGCTGGTGATGCAGAGGTGCCGGATTTAGGCAGCGCATCACGACCAAGTGGCGAGGGGCGGCGGCACAGGGTGCAGCCCCTGTAGCTAAAGCTAAATTGCTTAGCGGCAACCTGCTACCCCAGGACGCGTAGCCGGATTAACCAGGCTCTGCCTGCCGGCGCATTAAGGGAAAAATCATCTGAAACACGGGTGCCAGTCCGCAAACCCAGAAACCACTTATCAGATCCTCTGCGACCACAAGGATGAACGGAAAAGTCAGAAAGATGGCAGCTCGTCCGTTAATTACCGCTTGGGCCGGTTCGCGCCCAAGTCACTTTGAGTTGGGCTGGGAGTGGTCCTAGAAACAAGGCCAAAGCCTCCTCCGGGAAACACGAGTGCGAGTCCGAGCCGCGGTTTGAATCAACGTCTTGGACTCTCTTGCAGAATGGATCCAGGGATCCTCTACTACCACAACACGGAAAAGTCAGAAAGATGGCAGCTCGTCAATTACCGCATGGGTCGGTTTGGCCCGGGAGCGGTCCTAGAAACAAGGCCATCCTCCGTCCCTGCCCTTGACCGGTCGCAGAGGGACCGGGACTTGGGACCCTGTCCAGGCTGGTCCCAGGACCAGTCCAGAAACCCAGTCTGGAAGCAGGTGTTTGGAGGATCCGACACCAGTCTGCCCAGGACCGGTTCCGGTCCCAGGACCGGTCCTGGGACCAGTCGGGACCGGTCCCAGGACAGAAGGAAAAGGATATTACTGCAACCAACAAGCAGGAAAAGGAGCAAAAGGAAAGCGCGCAACAAATGTTTGCTACAGATGTGGACAGCCAGGACACATGGCCAAGCAATGCGGAGTGGCCATCTACAACTACGACACTGGCAACTTCGACGCCAATGACCAGACAGATGACTGGTACTGTCAGGTACACTATGACAACAACTGGGTGCAAGTTGTCGTTGCCACAACCACCACCGCTTGCAGATCCATCAGTAGTACCCATCTCAGGATGACACGAAGTAACACTTGCCATGATTGCCACAGCCCAGCAACTCACACAAGACCACAACAGAGTCAGTCTTATGATTGACAGCGGTGCGGCTACACATGTATGCCCACCATGGCTTGACCACAGCTCAGAACAGTGACCAACCAACCAACTCATCAAGCTCTTTGGGCACAGGTGGGTTTGCGTGACAAACCACAGTGGGCAACAAATTGTCATACCGTTTTATGCTTGTGAAGTTAAACAGCCAACTCTTTCGGTTACAGGGCTGGTGGAACAAGGTTTCCAACTTACACTGGATGACAATCCAAGGCTACAGCGCACCAATTTCCTTCAGAAGTACAGCATGGAGGAGACTACTGGCACAGAGAAGGCCCATACTGGAAGAGAGTACATGTGGAGTCTCGAAAAGCGTTTTAGCAGTTGGAGAAAGACACAACACAAGGTTAGTAGAAGATGAATGGGCAACACAGCCAGCTAAATCATCAGACAAGCCCTGGACAGGCTGGACAAACTTTGAGAAACACCAGGAGTTTCCTACACAGTTCGAATCAGATGATGAAGAACAACAACAAGGAACAAAAGCGAAAGCAGTGCAAGCACCCAAGCAACCAACACCACAGGAGACACTCGAGCACAACGTGACACACCTTTCTTACAGGAGTTGGTGCCCAATATGCGTACACGCAAGAGGCAGACAGAACAATCACCCAAAGCAGCACAGCAAGCTTCCAATCATACAGCTTGACTTCGGCTACATCAAAGGCTTTGATGACAACAACGTACATCCGATTCTCACAGCAATTGACATCCAATCTGGGATGATCATGGCAACACAACTGACTGACAAGAGGATGCTCTTCGACTATGCAGTCACACAGCTACAGCACTTCTTCATTGAATGTCGCAGAACATCACACACCATTCTACAATCAGATCAGGAAGACTTCCTGACAGCACTTGCCACAGCAGTGGCCAACAGGATCGGCAACATCACTACAAGGAACTCAGGAGCATACAGTTCACAATCACAAGGAGGAGTAGAGCGAGCACACAGAACACTGTTTGCACAAATCAGAACATTCAAGGCACAAATCAGGCAGAGTTACAACAGAGACATTTCAATGAAACATTCACTCATGCCTTGGATAGTTCGACACAGCGCATGCATCATGAACAGGTATGCAGTTCACAGCAATGGATGCACGAGCTACTTCAACAGATGCAACAGAGAGCACAACACACCACTTTGTGAGTTTGGCGAGACATGCTACCAACAGTGAAACAATTTCCAAAACCCGAGCCAAGATTCTGCAATGGAATCTGGCTTGGCAAGGATACAAGCACAGGCGAATCATGTACAACAGGATTGTCAGAGCAAGGGCAATCCAAAGGCAGATTTTGCCTCACAAACACAACCAACAGCAACTGGACTGTGTGAACACAGGCCCCTGGAAGACACCAGCATCAGCACTGCCTACACCAACTCTCCCAACACAAGTGACAATTCCAGCTACAAGTAAAGCACCACCATCACAGAAGGATGCAACAACAAGCACAGCAGCAGAAGGCAAGAGACAGGGCGCATCACAAGCAAGTGATCAGCAGGCAAAGCAGAAGAAGACAGCAGAACCTACACCACCAATGGCTACATCATCAACGCATCAGAAGCGACCAGCATTGCCAGCACCACCGCCTACATCGCTCACCAGAGAAACAGATGACACAGTAGCAGAAGGCAGCCCAGGCAAGCAACAGCGAACCACAGCAGAGAGACAAGCGCCCGAGCGGCCTACAACAGCCAAAAGGAAAGATGAGAATCAATGCCATCAAGTTTACAACAAAAAACGGTAAACAAATCGAGACCGGGTCAATGGAGGACATACAAGAAATCGAGAACGCGAGGATCCTGCTAGAGCCGATCATACATGATACAGAAGGCTTGGATCCACAACAGGTAGCACAAGGCATGAAGAAATAAGTACAACAACAGACCAATCAGTCTTCACAGAGATTGGTAGCAACACAATGACACCAGAACAACAGGCAAATATCATCGAATCAAGGTGGGTTCTCAAACAAAAACACAACGAAGTACGAGCACGCATAGCAGCAAAAGGCCACACAGAACCCGTTACAGACCACAACCTACTCTTCGCAAGTACACCACTGTTTTGCATACTGAGAGTACTTCTCACAATGGCACTGGTTTACAACTGGTCGGTCTGCGCAGGAGATGTAAGTGTTGCATTTCTACATGCAGCAGCAATCATACAACTTGGTAATGCGACCACCACAGGAGTTCTACGGTGAAGAAAACAGACACATAATGTGGCGGCTAAACAAAGCCATTTATGGTCACCAAAACAATGGCAAGACCACATTGCACAGTCACACTTGAACTTGTGAGGTGCACAATAGAAAGCAATGTCTACAGGTCTAAGGGTTGCCCAGTCTACATCATGATCTATGTAGACGATCTCTATTCATAGGAGCACAAAGCATCATCGACACCTTGTTCAGCAGAATACCAAAGGAAGTCCTGCTGAGACACACCGGCGATCTAACAGTTGGATCAACATGACACTTCCTTGGCAGAAACATCTCACATAAAGGAAACTACATTGACATCAGCTTGAACGACAACTAGGTGGACATCATCTTGGAAGAGTCAGGAATGACTACATGCAATCCAGCACCATCACCTGGAGTGTCACGCATGAAAGCTACAACAGAAGATGAAGCGCCACTTGATCACGATCAACACAAAGCAGTACAGGCGGCTTGTTGGCAAGATACAATGGCTAGCACACACACGACCAGACATCAGCTTTGGAGCAAAAGAACTAGCAAGATCACGACAGTCACAACACAACTTGACAACAAGAAGCTCAAGCGCATGATCAGGTAATTAAAAGAACAAGGTACATGAGACACAACCTGCGACCAAAGATGCAAACACAGGACAAACGAATCCCACTCAAAAATCGACACACAGACAGATGCCAACTGGGCATCGCGCGAGACAACCAGGAAGAGCACAACAGGATTCGTGGTTTACTTCTTTGGAGCAGCAGCACACTATGGCAGCAGAGCACAAGCAACAATAGCACTTTCATCAGCAGAATCAGAATTGTACGCAAGTGGTACAGCAGCACAAGAGAGCCTCTCTTCATCAGGGAAACATTTGAAGTACGCACACACACAGACAGCAGCGCAGCAAAGTCAACAGCAATGAGAGAAGGCATATCAAAGAAAGCGAAACGCATCGAGCTGCGACACCTCTTCGTACAACAACTTGTCAAAAGCAAAATCATCATAATGCACAAAGTAAAATCAGAAGACAACCCGGCAGACATTCTCATCAAGTTTGTTGGCCACTCAACAAACACACATACGCAGTTGGCCTTTGAGGCCATCACATCCAGTTTCACACAGGCGTTGCACAGTTCACACACGTGTTTGTTTCACTACATAACAGCCGGCACATTTAGAGTCTTTTAGGGTAGATACATTGCCATGGATCGACCCGCTTTTACAACCATTACGACTTCCCCTACATCCTTTTGTTTGGACATTTCTCTGGATGACAGTTTGTACACGAATGCTTTGATACATGCTGCAGCCATTTCACATTTGAGGTGTGCAGTTTTTAGACCTTCAGCTTTACATCAATGGCGCACCGGGCATGCAAGACCCTTCACATGGCCATGACAGTGCCAGATAGCTTCATGGTGGAGCCGGTAGCCATTTCGGTTACACCGGATGACCCCGACAACGGCACTGTAGTGGTTCCACTTACAGTGGAACAATACATGTTGATGACACCGACTGGATGAGGTGCAGAGGATCCCGGGTTACATGAGGTCTCCCACATTGGGCTTCATGGGAATGCTACACAGCCTCAGGGCAAAGACAGCGCCGCAGACCTGAGCACATTCTTTCTGCACAGGGTGAGCTTGCGCACACATGGGCTGTTATAGAAAATTTGTGAGAAGAAGGTTGCAGTGTTCAATAGAGGCTACATTGGACAGGTCCTTCAGTTACACCAGGAGTGCGCATGGTTTCTTTCAACAATCAAGAAGGCCTCCGGCACATGTTCAATGTGAAGGGCCACATCACAAACTTCCTCACGAATTGCAACCTGACCAGGAACTTTGCAATTTTGCAACACATTGTCATTCCCATCCAACAGGTTCTGGATACAGAGGATTCATTGGATCGAGTACACGCAGGCTTCTCGATGGCTTTGAGCTATTACACATACCCTGCAGCACAAGCTATTAATGAGCCTCTGAAAACAAGGGTCACCGAGTACATTGTGAAACATGGCATTCAGCTTGGTGGGAACAGCGTGGCCCTGGTCCCTGGACAGATTGGCTACAGCGACCAGAAGCTACAGGAGATAGACAGCTCAGCGATCCTGTCTCAACAGCAGGGGTGCGGGCTGTTGAACAAGAAAAGGATCATGAAGGAGGAGAACGAAGACATTTCAAGGTACATCGAGTGCCCAGCCATTTCGGCACACCGGATTTTGGGACAATGGTGCAGCTACATCTTTTCCAACATCAGGTCACATGAATGCAGTTTGTACAGATGTTCGATTCATTCGAGGCATGGATGTACAAAGTGAAACAGCCAGCAGAGCTGATAACAGACTTTTACATCACTTCGCACAACTAGAGCAAAACTGTTTGGCTTGCTGTAGGGATACATCAATCCAAGAGGGGGTGTTAATGTACATCCAAGTTTGTACATGACCCGCTCCTTTGTACATCAAGTCCTTGAGCCTACAGCCCGACTACAGCCCTCGCTGGATACAACAAGTGCCGCGCTGTTACACAGGTTTGTCACACTCAGGCTATTAGGTGATTACACAGTCAGTCCCACTTGAACGTGTATAAGTATATATATTTGTTATACACTTACCAACTAAGTGACTGGTGTCAGCCTCTTGTGCGAGTTTTGCAGCCCGCTTTCCCTGGAGGACGGCCTGATGGTGCTTCTGCTGATCCGGTTCGGAGCGGACCTGTATCAGAAGAACCATTGGGGCTACACCGCCTTCGACTACATCAAGTCCAAGGCGCGAAAAGGAGGTGATCGATGTCCTTGTCCGGTTTCACAAAAGACACGGCAGGCGTTGGTTTTCTTTTTTTGGGGGGAGCCACGAATGGTGGTTGAAGGGAACTCCTTGATTCTTGTTTTGGGCTGGTTTGAAGGGACCCGCTCGGTTTGAGAGGAGGGCACTAGTTTGTTTGGCTTGCTTAAAAGCAAAACGTTTGGGGGTTGGTTTGAAGTGTATCCGCTGGTTTTTTCTCTGTTTTGTCGCCCCTTCGGCCAACCACTGCAACAAACAGTGCATCGGTACATGGAGTACAGTCGGTGATCGGCCGGAGCAGGAAAACCAAAAGACGCATCTTCCCTTCTTCTCTTCTCCCCTTCGTCCCTTCGTCCCTTCGTCCCTTCGTCCCTTCGTCCCTTCATCCCTTCATCCCTTCTTCCTTCCTCCTTCCCTCCCTTCCCCTTCCTCCTTGCTCCTTTCTTCCCTTCCTCCCTGTTCCCTGTCCTTCTCTTGTTCTTGGCGTATTTATTAGCCTTTTGTATTCCGCAATACTTGTAGAGTGAGAAGTGTCAGAAACACAAAACGCTGGAAAACGATAAACTGAGTAGCGAAACGGCCGCATGTAGGTAATTTCGACCATGCCTCATGTGGCGCGCTTGACAGGATCGAGCAACTAGCCCTTTCTCGCAGTGAGAGCAAATTTGGGGCGGAAAAATCAGGAGGAAGCCGCGCCCCGTTTTTTCTTTTTGTTTTTCTGTTTTGGGTCGGCGCAGGAATTTTCCACCCTTGGGGAAGCCAAAGGGTAGCCTTTTCGCCCACCAAACCGCTCCAGGCGCTGCGCCGCAAGGCTCACTCGCTGCATCTGAAGATTCGGCTCGGCCTATGAGAGTTCAAAGATCGCAGAAAAGTGCAGCGGGGTTGCTTTCCCGTTTCCCGGACCAAACATCGAGCTCTGGTCTCCGAACTGAGGCTGTCTGGAAGAAACCGCCATGTCAAGAAAGCGCAAACAGCTTGCTTTTTTGCTTGAAGCCTCAGTCGACACGGGTTTGTGGAGATTCTGAGTCGACGGTCAAAGTTCCTTTCAGTCCTCCGATACGAGTTGACCCCGTAGGTGTGGCTCATTTTGGCACCAGGATGCGACTGATCATGTTTGCGTTGAACCGTTGTGGATCGCCCAGAAAGCCGGGTAGTTCAAGATCAGCTTCGTTTGCGATGGTGGTGATGTCCCTCGTTGTAGTGGTGTGCTATCACGGGTTTTGGATTAGGGAAGTCAGGATGACGGTTTTGAACAACCCAGGCAAGAACAAGGGCGTGATGCGAACCTGACATTGTGGGCCAGTGCAAAGAGTGAGAGCGACAATGGCTTGAGAAACAGCCATCATGCTCGTCTCACTCTGCGGCGAGCTACGGTCACTGTTCATGGTTTAGTACGGGAATGACATGGACACTCGATACGGGGAAATCCAAACACTTTTGCCAGTATTTCAATTGATAGCGATTTTGACCAGCTCACGCCGAATCCTTTTTACCTTTGGCAGCATCATTTGCAGCCATGTTCAGGAGGCCAAAACCTTGACGACCCTTCGGCGGTAGGATCGAGGTGCCAAACCATCCAAGAAAGGGCGCCCCCCAAAAAAAGCACATATCGGGACTTTGGTAACGAAGTTTTGGTTTACCTGAAACGAGGTTGCTGTTGCACGGAGTGCGCAGCAGCCCTAGACCAGGCTGCACTCTGGCTAGGCTCCCCGGCGTCTTTGCAAGGCCGGGCTGCGGATTTTAGCAAAAGAGATAAACACATCTCTATCTTCGTGCGCCATGATATGGCAACCCGTGGTAGTTCCGTCAGAAGACTAGATCGGTCAGGAAGTTGAAGGTGACACTCGAAACAAATCCACTCGGCGTGCACAACTTCCTGGCTTTTCATTGCATGTGCCAAGGTGCCCGACGCACCCAAATGGTACCTCAATGACAGACACTGGCTCTTCTGCTTCCAGCTGAGCTCAAATGGTTCAGGCTTTTCCGACACGGGAGTGGCAGTTTTGGAACGGCAGCCTTCGGCGCATTGCGCGTGATCGAGTTCCTCGTACCCTTCGGCTCCCCCGGCCAACAGCTGCGACTCCTGCATGCATGGAAAAAGCGGCAGACCGCAGAGACCATCCGATTCCATACGGCAAGCTTTGTGTGTGTGTGTGTCTCCGTGTGTTTGGTCGGTTGGTTGGTGGGTTGGGTTGGTTGGGTTGGTTGGGTTGGTTGGGTTGGTTGGGTTGGTTGGGTTGGTTGGGTTGGTTGGGTTTGTGGGTTTGTGGTTTGGGGGTTGGTGGGTTGGTTGGTTGGTGGGTTGGTGGGTTGGTGGGTTTGGTGCGTTGGTGCGTTGGCGGGTTGGTGGGTTGGTGGGTTTGTGGTTTGTGGGTTGGTTGGTTGGTGGGTTGGTGGGTTTGTGGTTTGTGGGTTGGTTGGTTAGTGGGTTGGTGGGTTGGTGGGTTGGTGGGTGGGTGGGTTGGTTGGTTGATTGGTTGGTTGGTTTCATTGTTTATTTGTTTCATTGCGTGCTTGTTTGTTTTGTGTCTACGTTTGATGGTTTGCGCGCTCGCTTGCTCGCTTGCTTGCTGGCAGGCTCGCTTGCGCGCTTGCTTGCTTGTTTCGTTTTGTTGGTTTGTGATGCTTGTGTTGTTTGTTTTGTGTGTGTGTGTGTTTGATTGATTGATGGATTGATTGATTGGTTGGTTGGTTGGTTGGTTGGTTGGTTGATTTGATTTCCCTTGATTTTATTTGAGTTCGGTTGATTTCATTTGATTTCATTTGATTGATTCATTCATTCATTCATTCATTCATTCATTCATTCATTCATTCATTCATTCATTCATTCATTCATTCATTCATTCATTCATTCATTCATTCATTCATTCATTCATTCATTGATTCGTTGATTCGTGGATTGATTTGATTGATTGATTGATTGATTGATTGATTGATTGATTGATTGATTGATTGATTTGATTTGATTTGATTTGATTTGATTTGATTGATTGATTGATTGATTGATTGATTGATTGATTGATTGATTGATTGATTGATTGATTGATTGATTGATTGATAGATTGACTGATTGATTGATTGCTTGCTTGCTTGCTTGCTTGATTGCTTGCTTGATTGCTTCATGGTTCATCATTTGCCGTTCGCGCTCGCTCGCTCGCTGGCTTGCTTGCTCGCTGGTTTCCTTGCTAGCTGGCTATTTTGCTTGCTTGCTCTTTTGTTTAAGTGTTTGCTTGTTTGTTTGGCTTGCTTGTTTGCTCTTTTGTTTGGCTTGCTTGCTTGCTTGCTTGCTTGCTTGCTTGCTTGCTTGCTTGCTTGCTTGCTTGCTTGCTTGCTTGCTTGCTTGCTTGCTTGCTTGCTTGCTTGCTTGCTTGCTTGCTTGCTTGCTTGCTTGATTTTCCCATATGCATTGTTTGTTGGATGCCAAATCCTCGGCTTCTGCAGAACCCGGGCTAGCCAGGGAGCTGTTCCTTGATTTGCAAGTGACTGTTTTCCTTTAAGTCTACCTTCTGCAGAGTGATGCGTAGACACCACCCTCTCTCCACCAATAGAAGTGAGAGGAGGGATTTTGGAAGACTACCAGATCCAGAAGAGCTCTCGAATTGCATGACTGTTCTGGCAAGCCCTGCTCACCCATCAACGTTTTTTGTGGCTTCCTTATTCCCCGTTTGTCAGCAATTGTCATACCAGCTACAAGAGTGTTTCTGCAGGAAATGGGCCAAGCACCCGTGAGAAGCAACTTTGTTTGCTGGATCATCCAGCCCTATTGGCTGGTTCAGAAACCTGGGGCCTGAAACGACCGCCGTTTTTTTGGTTGCGGTGCGACACGACCAGTTTTTGTTCACACGGCCATTTTGTGGAACGACCATTTTTTTCGTTCGTGGCATGAACATGATATATAGTGTGTATATATATATATATAGACGTGTTGACTTCGCCAAACACGCATGGCTTACATGGCTGGGCTTTTGCAAGTCCATAGGTTTGCTGCATACAAGCTTGCAGCCATGGGGCTTTTGCAAGCCCCGTGGCCTTTTGCAAGCCTTGCATGTGGGCTTTCGCCCCCATTGAACTGTTACAAGCAAAAAGGGCCTTTGCAGATGCATCATGCCAAATATGACATTTTGTGGACAATTGCTTTCTCATACCACGACCATTTTTTGTCGCGACCAAAAACATGGTCGTAAACAACGGCAGTCTTTTGAGGCCCCAGGAAGACATTTGTTAATGTTGACACCATCTTCATCAACCTCAGTTTATCAGAGGAGTGTCAACCGAGACCACTTTTGGAGAGGAACGCCCCGAAAAGGGGCCCCCCCCTTTGTCATAAACCTAGAGTTGATTGATCTGGGGTTAACGGTACCCTTCTCTGAGGCTTACGGACAATGTGCCCAGCGGCAGCGTTTGGCGTTCAAGCCTCGGAGCAGACCGCTGGCTTTTTGGCGGGGGGGCTTCCTTTGGAGTGTGGGTGGCTCGTCTTTTTTAGGCCCCCCCGTCTGGAATTGTGGTTTTCCTTTTGGCTTTTCCTTTCAAACCAACCAACAGAGGGTTCCCTTTTAAAAGCACACCCAAATATCAGCCAACCAAATAAGAGTGTCCTTTTTCCGCCACTATCTTTAGAGGAAGTTCCCTTTAGCCAAGCATCAGCGGGTGGCTTTTGTTCTTTTCCGTTTGAAAGGGTGAAGATGTTTTACTCCTGGACATCTCTGAGCCAATGTCAAAGTTTGAGTTCGAGTTTCCGGAACAAAAACGTACCAACCAACCAAAGTATCTTTCGTAGAGCGTGGTAATTCGGCTTCATGCCAAAGAGGCACGTAGCGAAGGCTTCCCTGAATCTAGGATGATGCCGGCATGCCCCTTGTACCGTGAATGTACACTTTTGGCTGAGTTACTCGCCTGGAAATGAGCATGGGGCCCGAAAAAGGTGACCAACTCAGAAGAGGATCCCTCTCAATTCCAGGGCGTTTTGTGGGTCCCATGGAGCGTTTGACTCCAAGGCGCAGACGCAAACTCCGCCTTCCAGGTCTTGCGCCCAGAGAGTCGTGGATTTGGTGCTTTAAGGTCACATGTCATAGGCAATAGTGTGTGTAATTCTTCCACCGTGGACAGAATCCACGCCCGGTACCTGTGGATTCTGTCCATCCACAGTATGTATCATAGCATGGGTTTGTCTAAAGATCCAGTGGACGGACAAAGTCCTGCACCACACGCGAAACTCTGGCGTAGTGCTGCGAAATGGATTTCGCAACTATCCACGAGTATTAAAGCTTCGTCATCACCATCGTCATCATCATGCTGGCAAATTGCCATACACCCAGAAACCATCACCAATGCAACTTTGTCCTTATCACAGATGGACGACTTACTAAGGAGGAGAGCAAGGAGATCCCGCCGGGCTTCCAGGACTGAACGCGTGAGCTGCGCTAAGAGGATCGATCCACTGGGATTTCTTTGGACGCCGTGGTTAAAAACCGAAAGTGATTCACCAGTTTTACGAAAAAGGGGGGTGGGGGCCCCTCCAAAAGTGGTCTGATTCCCTACTGAACCCAACGGCACCCCCCTATAAATATGCTGGGGTTGATGAACATGGGGTTAACAATAGGCCCAATAGACGCCAGAAAAAAAGAAGGTTAGATTCATGTCTCCATAGGATTGAGCAATATTCCATGAACGGCCCCAGTTTGACCATGAGTAAGTTTCCGCATGTGGTGAATGTCATCTTTGTGTGTGGTTTCCAAAATGGTCACCCCATGTGAAGGACCTTTTGATCAACCCCCAGAAAAGGGACAACTAGGTTGCCGTTTGGGGACTGCCTGGTTTAAGCATCAGAGATGTTGACTATTCCGTGGGTGT